AGGCTCAGCAAGGTTATATGGAAACTAGAAGTCTCATACACTATTGATGGAAATAAAATTAAAGTCTTTATAAAAGCCAATTTGACAATTTATTTAAAAATTTTTTTTTATATTCTGCAGTTTATTAAATGATTTCCTATAAATTTTGCCAAGAAACTGCTATTATTTATTAATGAAAAATTCAAAGCAATCTAAATGTCCAGTGAATAAATTACAGAAGACACATATGATAAATATGCAACTAATAATACCATGTATGACAGTATATATTAGGCACAGAAAAGTAAATTTATAAAGCAAATTATAAAGTAATAAATAATAATTTCTAATTTTATAAAAATTAAACATACTTAGGCACACACATAAACATAAAAAACTAGAAGCATATAGTCTAAGATGTTAATAGTGGTTATATAATGGAATTAAATGTGACTTTTCTTTTTTGCTTTTCCACATTTTCCAGTTCTTTTAAAATAACAGTCATAATAAAAAATAGCAATGCACATTAGTGAGTGCTGTTATGTGACACAAGAGACGTTTATTGTGTCATTCAATCCTTACAATTCTATGAGTTAGGTACTATAATTATTCCTTTTTACAAAGGAGAAAATTAAGATTCAGTGAGGTTAAATAAGTTTCCTAAGGTCACAGAAGTTAGCTTCTGAACCCAGACTTTTGGATGCCAAAGCCTACATAACCACTATTCTGTAAAGCTTTTGAATTGTTTGAAATTAGGAGAAACACACCCCCCCCATACACACTGTTGGTTTTTTTTTAAAGAAAGTAAATGACTTATTCACTCCAAATCAATTCCTGGACACAAAATAACTATATATACAATAGCTTCCCTGAGATAATAACAAAAAAAGGCAAAAAAAGGGAGACCATTTCAGGACGAGCTCAATATATTTTGTTATATTACTAACAATGGTCATTATCACTGGTAATTATAATAAGTAAATAATCAGTGTGCATCTACTAAGTTCCAGGCACTCTGCTATTGATGATAGCTATTGACATTGTTATTATATTATTATAACTAACTAGTTATAACTATATTAACTGGGAGGATAAAAAATGAAACCAAAAGCACCACCATAGTCTCACAGAGTGGTACATTCTAGCAGCACTTCCTAGAAAGTATTTCAGGTGGCTCAGGAGACAGGAAAGATGTAGTCTAATGGGGAGAGGGAGTTCAGTGAAGTCCAGCACATGCAATGCCATGAAGATGGTAGACCCGAGTGAAATGCCCTCCTGGGGTCCGTCTGTGGTTAGGGGCAGCCTGGGCCACAGGGATGGGCAGAAGCAGAACTGCCATATAAAAAGCCAAATTGTTGATAACATTGATTCCAACAGACACCTACTTGATGCTATTCTTTAAAAAGCAGAGTGCTTATGCTATGGAGGATACAAAGGTAAAAATCCATGACCTGCCTTCAAAGAGTAGAGTATCACAGGATGAAAGTCATGTCACTTATGCTAACAGAAAGCACTGGGTAAAAGAGAATTTGGGGAAATGCCCTACACAGTGCTCCACACACTCACTTTATCGAATGCTTGTGACGCACATACTGATTTTAAATTTCATGAGCTTGTTTCACACTATTAAAGCTCCACACCTAAAGACATGTTGCAAAAATGTTTCAAAATAAAATGTTCCAGAAGGCTCAACTGCTTGGATGATTTTTAAGTATGCCATCTTAGTCTTTCTCAGTATTTCTTAAAAAGAATGCAACTTAAAAAAAATAGTCTTGATCAAGCTATGAATAGATCTACTGGAAAAGGCAGTTTTTGAATTGCTAGAGATAAGCAAGGGAATTG